TCAACATCATGAGAGACCACATTCTCAAAGTTACTTGGGCTCCAAGCTTCACCGAGTAGTTGTTCCATGTTGGCCGTCGTATTTTCCTCATTCTCAAAGTTACTTGGGCTCCAATCTTCACCAAGTAGTTGTTCCATGTCGGCCATCGTATTTTCCTCATTCTCAAAGTTAATTTGGGTTTCACCAATCGGATCAACATCATAAGAGACTGCATCCTCAAAATTACTTGGGCTCCAAGCTTCACCAAGTAGTTGTTCCATGTCGGCCATCGTATTTCCCTCAAAGATTGTCAGATCAATCGGATCAAAGCCCACAAGATCACCACCAACTGGACTGGAAGAGCAGCCTTGTTGAGACGATGATTCTGTTGATCCCATTTGATCATCTTTTTTCATCTTTTTGTTTGTGGTCATCTTCTTTTCTTCTTTATCTTGTGATCCACGCTTTAGATTTGTTGCCTTGATCCCGACCCTATCGTTCTTCCTCATCCGGCAAATGACAAAATCAAAATCGTAACCACGTTGATTGTAGTCATTCTTGGGACCATCGAAAAGACTATATTCATCTAGTAGCCACCCTGTGTGATCCTCGGAACCTTTATTCTCATAGCGAAACTTTCTCTTTCGGCCAATGGGGTTCGGGTTGGGATTTCCAGAGACCTTTTCATGAACCAATTTGGAGGATTCAGTTTCGCTCCAAGTACCCCCGTTGCCAATCCTTCGATCCATCCGCTTGGGGGTTAACTTCTTGAGCTTGGAGATGAAGTACAAGTCTGTATCAACGAGTTGCGGCCCTCCGTATTTTTTCCAAATCTCCGAAGGCTCTGTGTTGTTGCCGAAGAGATTGCTGGCATGGAAGAAATTGTTGTATAGCGACATGAAGGGCTTGCTCTCTACCAAAAACGGGTAGAGAAAGGAACCCACAATCTCTTCATCGGAGGGCCTGAAACGAAAACCGAACGGCACAAGAGACTCTTCCATTGCTTGATGCTGCTGATAATGAAAGAACACAAGAAAAGCGAGAGTAGAAGAGAATTCAAGTTTCAAGTGAAGTTTTTGTCTGAATTTCTCTGAGTGTTGTTGCGAACAAAGAGCATCTCAGTCACTGCTATTTATAAGTTTCCTTGGCGAGCATCTCACTCACGGAATCAATGTGGTAATGAAACAACTAGAGCCTGTCAACTTTTAACTTTGAGCATCTTACCTCATTGAATCTGGAAAATCCTTTTATTTTATTTTATTTTTAATTTGAGAGAAATTCGGAGAGTCGGTTGTGGTAATTAAGGAAGTAGTACCTGTGAACTTTTAACTTTGAGATCCAACGGCCCAGATAATAGTACCGTTGACATCCAACGGCTTATTGTGGGAGAGTTAATATTGGAGAGATCGTGTCCGAATAGTTAGTACTTAGTGGAAGAGAGAGAAAGATCAATTCCATCTTCATTTTATTTATTTTTTGTTTTTTGTTTTTTGTGTGCTGCTGCTTCAATTTTTGTTATTGCAACATTTTTATTTAACGTTGCATTTTTAAGGGAAATAAAATTGTGTTTGCAGAATTTTGATTTTTATTGTTATTTTAATTTGTTCAGAAAAATAAATCACAAAGGTATGAGTAAAAATTAACTCCAAAAAAATCACAACAAAAAGTTAAGAGTTAAATAATTTTTAATAAAATTGTATACTCAAATTTAAAACTATTTCATGAGGTAGGATAATTTGATTTGAGATCATTTTAAATGCTTGAGATTTCATATTCTCGTACTGTTTGCCAATAAATTAATAGAATTGGCTCTTATATTTCAGCGTTATTACATTTATCTAATGTCATAATTATCTAATGTTTCTTCATTATTATTTCAAAACTCCTTCCTTGAGGTCAAACTTCTGATTTTTTTCTTGACAAGTTTAAGAACATGAGCAACTAATCTTGTTAGTATATGTGGGTTAGACCATTTAGATCAGGCAGTGTGCTTGCCCCTTTCACCAGAGTTGAATTCTCTCTTTTGTATTTTAGAGTAGTTTAGATTTGTGTAAAAAATTAATATTTTAAAGGAAATTCACCAAATGTATTCATTACTAATGTCTATGTTATAACCCTTATTAAATTAGTTGAATCTTGATGTATTAATAATAGTAACAGAAAAAGAGAATTGTTATTTTTTTGAGTACATAGTCTAAACTCACATACACAACTAAGATGTCATGGAAATCCACCAAATTTATTCATTAATCATATCTCTTCTTCAAAAAATCTATTCATTAATTTTCCATGCCTTGGCCAAAAATAAGGAAAAATAATTTTTTTTATTTTAAAAAAGGACCCAAGTATAGCCGTGCGGCAAAAAATAATGCAAATTGAAAATCATTAAGGCATTTAATTGAAACCAACAAAATCAATGATCACGATACTTAAAGAAAGTACTTAAATTTCAATAAGTTAATTCAGTGGTGAAATGATATCGAATTTTAGTGATTTTATGTAGAGTTGATCTTTGAATGAATATCTATAAAATATATTGTTTGGATTAGTGAAATACAACGTGGAGTGAGCCCTATAAAAGTGTCTTCAAATAAGGATCATTCAATAAAAACTCTATATGTATATGTTAAGATATGATTTGAGAAAACCTTATCACTCATCTAAATTATAACACATAAATTAGTAATAACTGATTTACCATTAGAAAAACAAGGGTGCTCAAGGTGTTTAAGAGTGTTGATGAAATTGATAAAGAAATTTTTGTTGAAGTTGTTGGAAGGATTTAGAAACTTACAAAATATGACATTATCTGCCTTGAAGCACCCGCCACGCTCCTAATGCAGCCAACCACCGCGCCTATCCACTCCCCTGGCACGTCGAAAGCGTGAGCTATTGCCGCGCGTGTGCCTTCACCATCTAATCCAAATATAGTACACTCATCAGCCGCACCTGCCAACTGCACTTTCTCTTTCCTTCGCAAATCGACTTGTATATCAACACCCACCGCACCAGACCAGACCAGACCAGACCCAGAACTCGATCAGACCCGACCCGAATTCTTTGGCCACGGTGATCCGACTACCCAAATGGCTCGGAAGAAGATCAGAGAATACGACTCCAAGAGGCTGCTCAAACAACACTTGAAACGAGTCGCCGGAATCGACCTCCAGATCAACTCAGCTCAGGTGACCGAGTCCACGGACATCGCTGAGTTGGTGAACACGGAGACATGGCTGTCGTCGACGAGGCTCGTGGTGAAGCCCGATATGTTGTTCGGGAAGCGCGGGAAGAGTGGCCTTGTTGCTCTCAATTTGGATATGGCTCAGGTCGCCGAGTTTGTGAAGCAGCGTCTTGGCAAAGAGGTAATTGCCATCCGATTTTTTACTTTCTGATTTTGATCGTTTGTTGCGAACCCAATTGTTCAAGATTGAATTTTTGGATGTTTTGTTTAATGGGTTTTGTGTGAATTTGGAAAAAGGTTGAGATGGGAGGCTGTAAGGCTCCTATAACGACGTTTATAGTGGAGCCATTTATGCCTCATGATCAAGAATTTTACCTTTCGATTGTTTCTGAAAGGCTTGGATCGACATTGAGCTTTTCGGAGTGTGGAGGAATTGAAATTGAAGAGAACTGGGACAAGGTATTGCAAATTTGTGTTTTTTCATTTTGGTTTCTTTGAGTGTTGGAATTAGGATGGTGTTTTCTGCGTGGTTTTGGGTCCTAATTGCTGTATGTATGTTTGTTTTGAATACATTTATAGGTTAAGACTATATTTCTTCCAACCGAGAAGTCTTTGACAAATGAGGCTTGCGCTCCACTGATTGCCACTCTTCCATTGGAGGTTTGCCTTTCATACTCTTCTTTCTCATGTATATTCTTGTTAAGCTTGAAGTTATGTTGCTGCAAATGCGTTAGCATGTAGTAAAGATGAGCATATAGCTTAAGAATGTGGACTGTTTGAGTATGAAGACCAAACCAAACCACTGTACTATTTCAAATTGAACTTCTTGATTGGCTACAGCAGCATTAACATATAGTTGTAGATTGAAGTCTGTTAGCATAAAGAGCATGAGTTTAGCATAAAGAGCATGAGTTTCGTAGGTATATTTCTTGTGTATTGCCCTTTAATCATGTTACCATGTTTCTATTTGATATCAGCATTTTATTTCTCTTTGACAAACTGTTTTGTCGGTATTGGGACTTCTGTCTTATCTATTCTGGTGTGTTACAGGTCAGAGACAAAATTGGGGATTTCATAAAGGGCGTCTTCACTGTATTTCAGGGTATGCAATGTCTAAAG